TCTTTCCTTCTCCTTTGTCACAGTACCTCGTGATGTCATAGGCCTCAACCTCCTAGTAAGGATGGGCCTACAGGTACACATAGGCATACAACAAGTGTAAGAAATAAATCTTTGGTGTTTTATGGTATTCCAATTTGGGAGGTTTTGTAGAATATTCTATAAAATGTTGTCATTATTGTAGAATATTCTAACTTATCCTAACCAATACATCAACTTAGGTTTTACTCACCTTATAATGGGAAATATGCAGTTCTCATACTTTTTCCTGAAGAAAGTTAAAAAAAAAACCCAAAAAACTAATGCTATATGAAGATTGATTTGAATCTTTCACATCAGAAACATCAAAATGATTCTTTAGAAAATGATCTTTCAGAAAACATCTACAGTGGTCATTGTTTTTAAAAATTTTGTATTTTAATTCGTTGTATATGAGAGCAGAATGCATTACAATTCATATTACACATAATAGAGCACAATTTTTCATATCTCTGGTTGTACAAAAAGTAGAGTCACACCATTCGTGTCTTCGTACATATACTTAGGGTAATGATGTCCACCTCATTCCACAGTCTTTCCTACCCCCATGCCTCTCCCTTCTCCTCCCTCCCCTTTGCCCACCCCCACAAACCACATTATGAATCAGCATCTTTAAATCAGAGAAAACATTTGGCATTTGTTTTTTTGGGGACTGGCTAACTTCACTTAGCATTATATTCTCCAACTCCACCCATTTACCTGCAAATGCCATGATTTTATTCTCTTTTAATGCTGAATAATATTCCATTGTGTACATACACCACAATTTCTTTTATCTATTCATCCACTGAAGGGCATCTAGGTTGGTTCCATAGTTTAGCTATTGTGAATTGTGTTGCTATAAACATTGATGTATCTGTGTCCCTGTAGAATGCAGCTTTTAAGTCCTTTGAGCATAGACCAAGGAGTGGGATAGTTAGGTCAATTAGTGGTTCCATTCCTAGTTTTCCAAGGATTCTCCATATACAGTGATTATTCTTAATTCTAGCATTAGATTGAAGGGTGACTTCAAATTTTTACTTTTTTTTTTTTCTTTTGCTAATAACATTTGAAAAACTTAGAGATTCCTATATATTCCATTTAGCATATATAGGAGAATTTACAGAAAGAACCTGGATTTTTAAAAAGTTCAACCCAATATTCTTTATTGTGTTTAAGTTCCAGAGTTCAGGGGACACCACATCCATCACAGGCATCCCATCCAAGGTGGATGGGATTATCACTTGAGTCCCTTTCCTGTCTGCCCCACTGTGGTCTGGCCTTGTGTGTGGCTTTAGTTTTAGCCTGGGGAACACAGGCAGATATGAGATGAGGCTTACATGTGCTTGCATGGTTTGGCTTGGATTCCAGTTCTCCCCCCTATGTTATAAAAACACCCTGCTCCACAGAGTGGCCCATGAGGAGCTGTGCAGAGGAAACCTGACCCTGACCTGCAGCTGGGAGCCCAGCCCAGTGAAGCCCAGCCCACGCCAGCCCCACCCAGTGGAACCAAGACCACACCTCACCTGACCGTATGCACATCCACAGACATTTTGTACTCACTTTACCAGGGCAAATGTGAAGGCCCTACCGTTCCTTCAACATGTCCTCCTAAAGGCAGTGTCTTACTCTAGGTCCATCCCATCTCCAGGTGCCCTTTGTAGACAAACATAACCATGTTTGCCACGGTATTTGTCACACAGAAGGACAGAGAACATTTCCATAGTTCTGACCTAGTATTTAGAAAAGTATATCTGATGGCAATTAAAAACCTCTGTTTTAAGTATTATAATGTTATATTAATGAATAAAAGGCAAGAATTGTTTTCCTTTTAATGATACAAGGATTACATAGTTTTATTATGTTCATATGTACATATGTAAATCCACTCCGAATAACTTTTCAATTTTGAAGTGAATGAAGAACTCCTACAATTTGATATTTGGAATTAAATTTCCTAGGTGCTTAAAACTGTGATGAATAAAAATCATTATTTTCTTTAATCACAAGAAATTAAACAGGAAAACTCATTGCCTGAATTTGGCACCCTGTTATGTAACTAGTTTGTTAAGCATGCCTGAAGGATAATTGTGAATAGAGATAATCTTGTGTTTTTTGGATGCAATGTTCTAATTTAAGACTTTTTATAGCTACTAGGAAATAGTTTTTAACTCTCCCTCTCTTCCTTTCTTCCTACAACTACCAACAACTCAACAAATATTTCCTGACAACTACAAAGGGTGTCAGTGAAGAAGACCAGGATTTCAGCTGGGCACAGTGGCACACACCTATAATCTCAGCGCCTTGGGAGTCTGAGGCAGGAGGATCACAAGTTCAAGGCTGGCCTTAGCAACTTATTGAGGTGTCTCAACACAAAAAAGGGCTGAGGGTGTGGCTCAGTGGTTAAGCACCCCTGAATTCAATCCTTGAACAACAACAACAAAAAGAATAAGGCTTCATCCTGACAGCTTATATTTTGGGGTGAAGATACTGGAATCCAACAAGTGAACATGGAAAGAAACACTGTGATATGAGGGCAAGTACCTAAGAGGTCACTGAAGAGCCTCTCAGCTGATGTTGCCTCCTGTGCACAGCCACAACAGCCAGGCCAGAGAGCGTAACGAGGCCTCGATTTCTGTTTACTGAGGATGGTGGATTTATCCTTTCACGACAGTGAGCAAAGCACGTATTCTGTTAATTTTCACAGGATATAAGTGTAAACACAATTGAGACTTTGGAAAAATTTCTGTTGGTCAACAGTAATCTCAAGAATATATTTTATAAATTGTTCCTACAGGGGATGGCCACATGCCAAATAGCTGCAGAATTTAAACAAACAAACAAACAAAAACATGGTCTAGAAGGCTGTGGGATGGGCCACCATCACTTCTTCAGTGGTAACTCCCACTCTCCTCCCTGGGCCCCGCACAGGGAGCACAAGGAGCCCCTGGTGCTGTCTAACCACCTGCGTCCCTGTGCCTGTCATTCCTCATCTGCAACCCGGATGGCTGCGCTGCGGCCCAGGCAGCTCTCTCCTCTCCAGTCCCAGCACTCTGACATCAACAGCAGCCAGGCAAGTCCACGCACCGACCTGGGTTCCTAATGCCACCACCTGCTCTCCTGTGCGACTCTCCTCTAGATCCCCCCCCCCCACAGCACAGCAGCCACGGGGCAAAAGATGCCCCCCTTCCCCTCATGGCCATTTCTCCTTCCTTCTTCCAGGTAAGAATGGAGTGGAGGCCCTTCTCCTAGTTCTGCCTTTCTGCCCCTCAGCCCTTGACCTTCGCGGGCGACCTTCGCGGGCTTCCTCCTTCTGGTACCTGCCCTCAGCACTGAATGCTCAACCTTATTCTGGCTTTAGGAAAGAAACCTCTTAAAAGCGTCATTCATGCCACCGGTCCACGGATCTCAACTCACAATTATTTCTGACCCCAAGACGTCACTGATGTTGCTCTCCAATGTTTTTGCGAGGTCCAGTGGACACATTGCTTTTTTTGTTTTTCAGCTGACCTCTCAGTATTCACTGACCTTGACTTTGACCTCTTCATCTTCTTAAAAGAGTGTCTTCCTTTAAATCCTGCGACACTCGAGTTGAAGCGGTCCGTGCAACTGCTCCTTTGCAGTGCCTGCTGCCCATCCTGACGTCCTCAGTGAGCCGCGGGTCTCTTCTTCCTGACACCGGCCTCCTCTCTCCTTTCCTCACAGCCCAGCTCCTCTTCAACTGCCGCTTAACTACTGGAGATCAAATCTCTACCCAAACCCCCTCACCTGGGCCACAGAACCTGCTCCGCAATGAGCCAGCAGCAGCTCCAGACCCTGAAGTGACCTCCTACTCCCGACTCCCTGTGCACCCCACATCTCAGCAGGCGGCACTGTCCACAATCAGCTGGTCAAGCGGGCACTTCCCACCTCCCCTTTCTCTCCGTCTTCACTGTGCATCAGGGCTGCGGTGAGACGGCTTGCGTGTGCCTGCGGCAGCGCACCCCAGGTCTGAAGCCCTGCTCTGCCACTGGCTGTGTGACCTTGGGAAAAGTAGTTAACCCCTCTGAACTTCGGTTACCTACACTTAAAACGAATAATGATGGTATTTATATTTCCTAGGCTTGGTGCAAAGGCTAAAGTGACCGTATGATTATTATTAAATGACATACTGCGTGTGGGCCACTTATAGTGCCCAACACACAGGAAGTGGTATATTAGGGTTATCACTGGTCAGTAAGTGCTGGTTTTGTCATCCTTTTGTAGCTCCAGCTGATCCTACATCTTAAATCTCTCACGTCGGGCCATTGTACTCCATCGCTAAAACACCCCAAGTCGAGGCTCACGTCTCCCCTTGCGCCGCTGCTCCTGCAGCCTCCTGAGGGGCTCCCTCAGTCTTACCCTCCAGCTGTGCGAAGGCTTCTGTGGCTCCCCACTGCCCCAGGCTCCATCCAGACCTTGCGGCCTTGGTGACACAGGCCAGGTCTCTGCCTGTTCCCGCCATCCAACCCTCCTCACCCTTCTCCCTGCCCCCAGCTCCCTGCCTCCAAGCTTCCCAGGACCCCATCACCCCACCCCTCTCATTTCCTCCCACACGTCATGCACTTGGGGTTCCCTGTATCTTTTTAGTATGCCCTCAAAACTCTGGTCCAGGCTCCAGCCCCTCCACTGCCATCTCCAGGTCTCAGCTTGCTGCTGTTCCTGGCCTACGGCCTCACTGACCTCCTCCACTGCAGGTTTGGGGCTCCCCTAATGTGCTCTCCGGGTCACGATTCTCTGTACAAACACAGCCTTTGTCACCCCCAACAGATGACAGTCTCTGAGGAGCTCAGACACAACTTCTCTCCCGATTACCACTGTTTCTCCAGGACCTGGGCCACAGGACACATTCAATAAACAGCTATTAAATCACAGCACAACTAAAATGATAAATGCATAATGGCCATAACACATAAGAATTCATCATACTGGCCAGGTTGCTCCTCAAAGGCATTTTAACAGGTGGCTTCACTTCATTTATTTTATTTTAAAATATATTTTAAAGAGAGGCCAATAAAAACACATCAAAATTAGTACAGTAACTTTGAAAAACCATTTTCTTATAGAAATTTTGCCCACACAGGCTACCAAACCACTATGTACATTTAATAAGGGATTATAAAACTGAACTGAAATAAGCTGAATATCTGGTGTTAACATTAGACATTTTATTTCTAAGCAAAATCTTTCAGAGAGTGATGAAAAACCAGGGGACACTACTAAAAACCACTTGAAGTCTTAATTACAGTATTTGCCAACTCTCACAGGTCTTCAGCGTTTTTCATTTCTAAAGCAACTCCGTTCTATAACTTATTTTTGTTCTCCACTGAACACCATAACAAGTTACTTAACTCTTGAGCACAACATGACGGAGCCAGTTAAGAGGGCACAGGTGCAGCCGGGCTCTCAATTAGACAAGCAATTTTCCAGATTACATGGGCAGGATCTTCACATTTTTATGAAAATTTAGTCCTGCGGTTCAAAAGTAGAGTATGACACCCACTGTAAAGGCTGTGAGTGAAAAGTAAACAGCTCAAGCTGTGCGAGCCTCCCCTTCGGGCCTGATGTTTCTACAGCCTTGTTTATCTGACCCCCTTCCACTAGATGTCAAGCTGGTTTGGAAGCATTTGCTGTGGAAGGATGTTCTTCAGCCTGGGGTCAGAAGATGCCCAGGTATGGCAAGCCACTTTTGGACCTTCTTCCCTAAACCAGCAAGAGGGAGAATCACCCCTTCCTCTAAAGCAACCCAGGGAATTAGGACCAGGGGAGTTACTATGAATTCAGGGACCCTGAACAAAACTGTTGGAGTGGGCTCACAGCCTTTGTAACTCTGGCTCTTCTGTACAGTAATCTCTTTGGGTAGTTTATACACCTAAAGAAGGAAAAATTGGAGGCTTCAGAGGAATTATCCAAATCTGTTCTGGCTCAGCTTTCTTGCTCTGACCCTTGTTTCAGTCCTTTCTTAATCTTAATTCAGATTAAGTCAGTCTCTAAACAGAGTCCGCAGTGTGACAGCCAGCCCCACCTCCAGGTGCAGAGTGCTAGCCAAAGGAGCTCCAGAAACTGCATTGTGCGTCCTTAACACACGCACAGTAGGACCACTGTGCTCTATTCAGGGAGCCAGCTGCTCATCTGATTGCTTCCCTGATGGCCAAAGCACTGCATTAGTTTCTTGGCAGATAATTAGAACCCAATTATTTCAACAGTCACACATCTTACAGACCCTTCCCTATACAATTCTGAAGTTCAAAATAAAAAGGTAATATGCATAAGATTCAAACTTCGAAAATATACTAAAGAGACATGGAGTATAATGTCAGTCCCCTTCTCAGTTCTGGGAAGTAGACAGCCATCCAGCTCCCCACTCAAAGGAAACCAGTGACCAGTTTCTTACGGCTCCTGCCAAAGGTCTTCTCTGCACCTATGAAGCATGAACACACATGTCCTGTCTTACACCAGTGAATGAACTTTTCTTCTGTCCCTTAATAAAGCAGTTCATAGGAAAGGCCCGCAACCTTTTCAATGCTGCACAGAATCTCAGAATTAGGATGGGATCATATTGAAGGAACTATCCCAGTGTGATAGCTTGGCGTTTCAGTTGTTTCCAGGCTCCTGCTGTTACAAACAATACTTTCGTGAACTTTCTTACACAATACCTACATGTGAACACAACCAAAAGTATAAATTAATTTTTTCAAATTGCTTTCTGTGGAGGTTGTAACAATTAGTATTCCAACCCATAACGTACAAGATCTTATCTTTCTACAGCTTATGAAATCAGGGAATAATCAAATTTTTCATTTTTGCAAAGATAAATGTTCATGGAAAATGGTATCTCATCATAATTTTACTTGAATTTCTCAGTGTGATTTAGGACCTTTTTCTCATACATGCAAAAGCCATATATATTTCCTTTGCTATAAAACATCTTTGAACATTTTTCATCTGGATTGTTGTTCAATGTCATTTTCACATTGATTTGTAGAAGTTCTTTATATGTAAAGGACTTTCCCCATTTTTCCTATGGGTTCATGGCTTTACTATGATGATTTTATATTCTTTGAAGAACAACTTTACATTATTTTATTTTTTCAGCATTGCCTTATTTCCCTAGCAATTTCTTTCTCAAAATGGAAAAATTATTTTATCAAGAAACTAAATTCTTAACAAAGTGAAAGAATTTAAAATGTTTATATATTAGGTTTTTCTTTGTAAAAATTCATCAACAGAAAATATTTTTAAGTATATTTTATTATACTTTTATAGAAGTAGTTTACATGATCAAAATGTAAAAGGAAAAAGTGCTGAGTATGATATATCATATAACTTCTAAACCTTACCTGAATTTCCCATTGCTTATCATGTACTGAGTCAATTTTAAAAAGAGGATTACAGTCCTTTATCATAAGCTCCTAGTGGTATAATAATATTCTTTTTTAAAGTTTTTTTTCTTGTCAATGGAACTTTATTTTACTTATTTATATGTGGTGCTGAGAATTGAACCCAGTGCCTCACACATGCTAGGCAAGCGCTCTACCACTTAGCTACAACCCCAGCCCTATAATATTCCTTTTTGAAAGCTACTACAGAACTGTTCTCTTCTGTCTTCCTACTGTGCACTTAAATTGTGGATAATTTTTTCAATAAAAAAAATCTGCAGTAGACATAAAAGTATTGGTTAACTGAATTTATTTGTTTGTATCCTTCTCATATTCAAGAATAAGAAACTTGGGGCTGGGGATGTGTAGCTCAGTGGTAGAGCGCTTGCCCTAGCATGTGTAAGGCACTGGGTTCAATTCTCAGCATCACATATATACAAGTAAATAAAAATAAAAGTATTGTGTACAACTAAAAAAAAATAAAATAAAAATTTAAATACACACACACACACACACACACACACACACACACATATATTAAGAACCTATTCTAAAAACTGACAGTAGAGGCCAAAGGATAATATAATGTCCTAATTTTTCTATGAAAGGTATTTGAAAATTAATTACTTAAAAGAACTGAGACTCAACTATGAGTCTTATTCTTATAAAAATTGTAGTAACTATATGATTTAGTATTACTATATATACAGGAGAACATAAAGAAAACTTATTTTGTCTATGAGTTTGTTTCTTGGCATATTCTAAGGTCATTCAACTATTGTTTTTTTACAAACATGTTATACAAAAACATTTAAACATCTACTTAAAATCAAATTTCCAAAGTGCTTTTTAAGTATCCAAAGAAAATGTGGCAGAATGTTTTCTTAATTAAGAAATCTAGAACAAAATACACAGTAGTAGAACAAAAAAGAAAGAATTAGTTATATCAGAGAGAGAAAACTTCAAACAATGCGTATGTAATTATTTCTTATTATGCATCCATATGTAATTATTATTTTTTATTCTTATGTTCATCACCATATCCTTTCTTTGAGGAGAAAAACACAGGGTAGTAATTTCAATGATATGAATACTACAAAACATTTCCCTCCCTCCACCACAGGCATCTAAAGATGAGATAATTTTGCATCAAGTAAAAAGAACATTACTAAGAAAACAAAATGAAAGTACAAACTCAGACACAAAATCTTATCTATCTCAAACTTTATACTGCTCTCAAAAATTATACTTACTTGCATAAAATGCAAAAATCATTACTAAAAAATCACTATTTTGAATTTTATCAATTATTTTGAAAAATAAATCAACATCCACAAGAGGTAATTAGATTTTAAAAATACTAATAGCTGCTCCAATTCAGTATCTCTAATTGAAAGAGAAATAGCGTGCATATTATTCTTTATATTGACAATGATTTATGCACAGTATGGCAGAGCTAAACTTCCAAACTCATCTGTACACTGGAGCCAGTTATATCTACTTACCAGGCTTATTACAAAGACTAAATGAGATAATGCACATGAAGCACTTACCATACGCTTGGGACAAGGGAAATAGTAAATGTAGACCAAAGTCATCAGTTGGTTCATCAAAATGCTTTTGAATAGGCAAAGATAACTATTGCAAATAATCATGCAGCTAGAAAGAGAAACCCTCGTTCCATTGTTTATGGCAAAGAGTAAAAGTAAGAAAGCACATACTTTCATAGTAAGAAACTAGTTACTATATACAGAAGATGTCTTTAATATTTCAACAAACTTTGTTCTCCCACCCTACTGCCTTCCAGTGTTTTCCCCCATCTGTTTCTAAGATGAGTGTGAAGTGAGTTCTGCTCAGGTAGGCAGCATGTTCACAGCTGTCACTCATCAATCCTGTCTCCCAGGTGGAACTCCACCTGCCCCAGGTGTCGGGTGCTTCCTTCTTCCCTTCTTGTGGATCTAGTTGGGTGAAAGCATCTCTATTAATATGTTTATCACTTCCATTTTAATTGCTTCCATGGCTGTCTTCTTTTACCAGCAGAAGAAAAGACTGTTTATATAGGTATTTCCAAGACTCACTGCCTTTAATTCATCCTTTTTATTCAATGAAATATTATGTTTACATTAAGTAATTTTTCATTGCTTTCTTGGGATATAGTTTTAGAAATGGAATTAGTAGATGGAACAATGTGAATGTCTGTAAAGGTCTTGGATGAATTGTTACTAAGTTAGCTTGCAGAAAGGCTAAGCAAATATATATATACATAAATAGTTACATAGATATGAACATATGTGTATGTGTGTGGTGGGTATGTGTGTGTGTGTTTGTGTGTGTGTGTATTCCCCTATTTTATATATATATTCTACTTTAAGGCACCTTTGGGTTGTGGACATCTAGCACAGCAACTATTATTTGGAAAAATTATCTGATATTATTTAGATATTTAGAGGGTAAACTATACTCACCATGGTCACAAGGATATAAATAAGTACTTTTAAAAATATTTAACACTAAATGCTCATGATAGATAAGCCAAGGTTCTGGACAAGCCAGATAGTTAAGCTTCTAGGAAATGCCAGGTTGTTTTGCAAAGTGGCTGCACCATCTCAGCTCCCTACCAAGGTGCTCCAGTGCTCGACATCTTCTCCAGCACTTCCTCTCACCTGGTTTTTATTAGACCATCCAGGCAGATATCAAGGATTATCTCATTGTGGTTTGAATTTATATTTCTCTAATGCCTCATGATGCAGATTATCTTTTTATGTGCTTATAGGCCATTCTACATGTTCTTTGGAGAAATGTCTAGTGGGATCCTTAATCCTTTTATAAATTGAGTTATGCATCCTTCCGCCATGATGTTATGTCTTACTCTGAATGCCTAAGAATGGAGCCAGCCTTCCATGGACTGCTCTTCTGGAAGTAGATCACTGCCTTTTAACTTTTTTTTTTTTTTTTTTTTTTAGTTGTAGTTGGACACAATACCTTTACTTTATTTATTTTTATATGGTGCTGAGGATCGAGTCCAGCATTCACACATGCTAGGCAAGCATTCTACCGCTGAGCCACAACCCCAGCCCCTGCCCTTTAACTTTTGATACACATTTTATCAATATACAGCTTACTTGAAATTGGGAGAATGAAAGAATTCTGATTCTAATTTAAATTTCAGTAGTTTCGTGCCTATCAAAAAGATTGATCTGATAAAAGAAAAAAAATCCTATTTAGTAAAATAAACTAAAAAGTTTTTAAAACACTGAAAAAAATAATTATTTTCATTGAGCATACTGTGTTACTTTTTTCCCTCACACTCTCTTTTAATTAATTAATTAATTAATTAAAATTAGGTAAAAATGACAGCAGAATGCATTGTGATTCATTGTACACAACCTGCAGCATAACTTTTCATTTCTCTGGTTATACACAATGTAGCATCAAGCCATATGTGCAGTAATACACGTATCTAGGGTAATGATGTCCATCTCATTCCACCGTCTTTCCTGCCCCCATGCTCCCCCCTTTGCCCAAAGTCCCCCCCCCCCCGTTATGGATCAGGATCCACTTATCAGAGAGAACTTTTAGCCTCTGGTTTTGGGGATTGGTTTACTTCACTTAGCATGATATTCTCCAACTCCATCCATTTACTTGCAAATGCCAGGACCATACTGTGTTACTTTTGATCATTTAGATTTTTCTTTAGTCATTAGCATAAAGATTACAGTGGTATAACAAAATCACATAATCTAAGAATTCTGATTATTTTTTAGTAGTAGTTTATAAAGTTTTTACAAACTTTTTTTTTTCTTTGCTGGTTCACAAAAAACGTTCTGTATCTAGGATTATATGCAATTGCTTTCTAGTTTATTAGTACTTAACATGAAATGTCAGGCAAATTAATATTTATCGATTCATTTTCTTTGTTGAGCAGTACCAGGGACTGAACCCAATGACACTAGGTTCAAATTACAATGATTATTGATTATTGTGAATTTAGTCCTCATCATCTTTACCTCAATGAATGCATTAATCTTTTCATTTCTCGTGCCGTTTTGACCAGTTTTGCTTTATACTGCACAACAGAGACGCGGGAAAACCTCATAGTGATCCAGAAGGGAATCATGAAAATGATCCTAAATAAAAATCAGTTCATTTGTAATTGTTGCATGTTTCTCATCCTGAAAACTAATATTTGCACTCTCAGTTCAGTCAGTTTATCCTTTTCATGAATTCGGCTGTTCTCAGAGTGAAGACCTAAGGCACAACGTCACTTCCACTTCTTCATTCCACCTGGACTTCAATCATACATTCTTCATTTCTCAGAAATTTCACTTTTTCTACTGCCTAATCTTTTGTTATAAATACTAGTCTGAATTGCTTTGTATATTTTTTAATTGTGGAAAAGACACACAGAATTTGCCATCTTAATCACTTGTGAGTATACAGATGAACAATGTTAAATACACTCACATCTTTGTTCTTCCACCTCCATCTATCTCCAGAATGCTGACCTCAGGAACCTGAAATTCTGTACCGTTGAAACAATAATTCCTCATTCATCCTTCTCCCAAAACTTGTCAACCACCACTCTATTTTCTGACTCTATAAAATCTGACTATTCCAGGTGCCTCCTTGTGTAGATGGAGCCATTAGTATTTGTCCTTTTAGAACTGGCTTGTTTCACTTGGCATAACGTCCGCAAGATTCATTTGTGACATAGCATACATTGAAATCTACTTCCTTTTTAAAGATGAATAACATTCCTCTGTGTGTGTGTGTGTACACATGTATACACACACACCACATTTTGCTAATCCATTCATCCATCAATGGACTCTCAGGTTTTGCTACCTTTTGGTTATTGTGACCAATGTTGCTGTGAACATGGATGTGCTCCTATCTTTTGGAGGCCTTGCATTCAAATTTCTTAATCCAAAAACAAGACTACTAGATCATATAGTAATCTTACTTTAAATTTCTGGAGAAACGCCACATTGTTCCATAGTGGCTGTGACATTCCTACCAGCAGTGCACAAGGATTCCATTTTCTCCATACCTTGTCAATAGTTGTTCTTTTCTGTTTTCTTGATAGCCTAATGGGAAGAGGTGGTATTTTACTGTGGGTTTGATTAACAATTTCCTTACGAGAAGTGATACTGAGCAACTCCTCATGTGCTTGTAATCTTCTTTGGAAAGCATCTGTCCAAGTCCTTTGCCTACTGAATTGCTATTGAATTGTAGGAGTTCTTTATATATCTGGATAATAACTCCATATTAGATATATCTGAGTTGCAAATAGTTTCTCCCATTCTGTGGGTTGCCTTTTTTCATTCTGCTGAATGTGTCCTCTGATGCATGGTAGTATTTAATTTTGATGTAGTCCAATGTATTTTTTCTTTTGTGGCCTATGACCTTGGTGACACATGCAAGAAATCATTGCTAAATCCAATGCCATGAAGCTCTTCTCTTTATTTTCTTTGAAAAATTTTGTTGTTTGCATACTTAATGTTCAGGTCTTTGATCCCATTTTGAGTTAATTTCATATATAAAGTAGGATCAAGGCCCCAAATGCATTCTTTTACATGTAAATATCCAGTTTCATCTACACCATACATTGAAATGGCTTTCCTTCCCCTTTCTAATGCTCTTGGCATTTTCTCAAAAATCATTTGATAAACCTGAGGGTTTATTTCTGGCTCTCTATTCTAGCCCATTGTTCTATATATCTCTCTTTATGCAACATCATACCGTTTTGCTAAATCTAACTTTGTAATAAGTTTTAAGATGAGTGGGTGTGAGGCCTTCAATTTTGTTCTTCTGTTAAGATTATTTTCAGTGTTTGGGATCCCTTGAGATTTCATAGGAGTTTTGGATAAACTGTCTATTTCTGTTAGGAATGTCACTGGAATTTTGATAGGGATTGCATTGAATCTGTAGACTCTGATAAACAACATTGACATCTTAACCACATTAAGTCATTTAATCTCTGACATAAGACTTCTTTCTATTTATTTGTGTCTTTAAATTCTCTGAGCAACATTCTTAGTTTTCAGTGTATAAGTCTTTTGCCTCCTTGGTTAACTGTGTTCCTTCCTAACTTTTGTGTGAGGGAAGGGAGCTGGAACCAGGGATTGAACCCAGGGATTCATACATGCTCCGAAGGTGCACAACCACTGAGCTACACCCCAGGCCCTTATTCTTAACTGCTTTTTTTCTTTTTGAAGTTATTGAAAATGGAACTATATTTGCTTTGTGTACTTTAACAACATGCATAAATGGGATCATTATCATTTAGTAGTATGTATATCTTTGCATCACTCTTTTTACTGCTATTGTGATCTGTACCTATGTGATGGCATGCACAAGGACACACAGCACCTTCAGGGAAGCTGCCACAAGGAGGAGGAGAGCAGAATGGAATGACACAAAGACAAGCCTCTGCTGTATTCTTACATATTTTTCTTTTTTAAATTGGAGATACATATAGAAGATCTGTACATTTATTGTAATTTCCTCATGTGAAATATAATTTATAATACCTAAAATTTTTAAAAAAGGACTCCGAAAATGTGTGGTACCTGAGCTTTACCAAGAGCTAAATAAATAAGACTTTGTTTACATAATTTCTGGAATCATTAACTTGGATCTACACTGTCACATTTTGGCTCATTTTTTCTTGATGTGACAGGAAGTCAACAATTACAAGTCAACAATCACAGTTCTCCATTCTGTGACCTAAAAGAAAATAATCACTCTGCAGCAATCTTCATACAACGTGCCTTCACTTACCCTGCACTGTTCAACCTGCCTCCTTTCACAATGCTGAGGTCAAATGAAAGTAGCTCAACTCAAATATGCCCAGGACACAGGGCCCCAGCAGGAGCACAGGCTTTTCCCCGGGCTACAGATGCTTCTGAAGACCATGAGTACGGGAAACAGGTAACTTTTAACTATTTTTCCTTTTTAATTGGGAAATCGTTTTTTATATTATCTATCAATGTGGATATTTTTCAGGGAAAATTTTAATGCACTAATTTCAGTGTATTTTTCTCATGAGCTAAAAAGTGAAGCAGGAGGTAATTCTAAAAGACAAATTCAAAAGACAGCACTTGGGCAATCAGATCAAGGGTTTCTAGTTTTCCAACATAGAATATGAAGCAAGCACAAAGAACTAAGAGCTCTAAGACATCACGGGGCAACCTTCTGGTTAAGGCAGGGTGCTGCTAGGAAAAACATTGAACTGCACTATCGGATTGCAGGACGGCTTCAGTGGTGACTCAATATAGAACATAAAACTGGGCCGAAGTTCACATTTTTATAAAGTCAACCTCCCTCGGGAAGACACTGCACTCTAAGAGTAATACTCTTTACTACTCTACTCAGATAATCTGCTACTCAACCTGACATTTTAAAAAAAAATAATCATATAGATAAGAGGAATGTAAAGAATGACAAAAATTTACCACCAAAGTTATTGTTAAATAATTATTTAATCATTACAGCTTTCATGTTTAAGTGAGCTGAATGAATTATCTTTTAGTGAGCAAAGCTTTAGCATTTTGGCATACAGAATGATTCACAGAACTTAAAGAAAATCAAGGAGACTTAATTTATGAATTATCTCTTTTTTTGTGGATATGATTCCCACACAAAAATGTTGGCCTCTCAGGACCTCAGCCCAGCACTCATCTGGCACACAGTAGGCCTGCAATAAGTGCTTGTGGAACAAATGAATTCTCCTGAATCCCCAGCTTGTCACATTTTCTCACTGAGACCAAGAAACCACCATGCCCCTCAAGCCTCATCAGGTTTTAAGTGAAATTTGATCATTTTGAGTTTCGCATCCTGTTCCTTCTTCTGATTAAAAAGTCGTTTGTTTCTCCAAAACAAAATGACTTCTCAATGCCACTTGGGTGTGCGAAGAGAAATGAGGGTAAACATAGTATTTGTCACACTAACTGCATAGCAGCTTTCTTGAGCTCAGGTTGAAAATATGAAATCATAAAAGTTCAAATGGCAACTCTTCAGGTATTTATCTGGCAATTCCCAGTTACAGATTTAAAATATATCATTCAGCACAAACACTGAAATTGTAATGAACTTTGTTCACTACAGACCAGAACTCAAACTAGTGCCAATTCTATCAGGGACACCATCCAAGTTTTTCAGAACAAAAAGAATGTCACCACACAGTGAACTTAGCCCCAAGAATGTCACACACAACATGAAGCCTGAAGACAATGTGGTATGAGGCTTCAGGTTACATGTATGAAAAGAATGGTCACCTACCACCACAGCCATCACACATTTGGAATTATAAGTAAAGATGTTCTTCTCTATAACAAATGCCAAAATATTACTTTTCATTAAACACTCAAGGGAAAGAGTCAGGTATCAGGAAGCAGGTTTAGAAAGGAACTAAATCTAGGTATGTATTTCTAAATTAGCATAAGAAAACACAGTCTCGTTTACATCAGCTTCCTGAAGAAGCTGAAACAAATATGTAGCTATGCCAGCAATTCAAAACAGGAGAATCACTGCACAGGTCAAATGTGGTTTTAAATATTCACAGATAAATTCAAGATTGTCAAATAAAGAAAGAAATAAAACTCACAGAAAATGCTGAGCCACTGCTTGATGCTGTGACAGTGTGATCTTCATTGTGTAATTTTACGGAGAGCTCCCACTTAGCCACGTCTGGCTTAATAACAGGCATTCTGGAGTCAAAGAAAAGAAAAAGAATTAATAATTTTATATCATTCTTTCTCAATAAACAAAATTTCCTTTGACACTAAGTGTGTGGAGTAAAACTGCTGAAGAATGTATTTCTGAAAATTTTATTCTAAAAGGTTCCTGGGGTGGAGGGTTCAGATTTACACTACAGAGGTTTAAAAACCAGTTCAGCCAAAGACAATAGCAGTCATCAGGGGAAACTGGGTGCCTTCATTTCTCCTAAGGGCCATCATCTATCTACTTTATGAATTTAAGTTGTTTAATTGTGACAGTCCTTTGCAAATTAATCCATGCTAATTTTTTCAATATTTAGTTTTCATTCAAGGCAGTTTTTAAAAAAATTATAATAAACCACTATGCCATACATCTTAAAAGTTCAGAGACATAAAATGGATTAATTACTGAGCCAGCACGATCTGGCATAGGGAATTGTTTTGGTTTGATTTTTACCCCTCATAGTTAATGAGATTAAATGCGTATTAAGAATGAACTTCTATGCATTATTCCATAATGCATACAGAATGTTCCTTCATGATATGAATTAGAAAAAAAATTACCTGAGTATATGAACTGGAATATAGCCTCAAGGAAAAATCAAAACAAAACTAAATACTAAGTGGCGGTGCTAAGTTCAGGAGCACCAAAGCAAAGGAAGTATTGGTTTCTTCTTGGGAGCTTACTATGTATGCCTTTTGCAAACCTAGTTTTCCCCAACACCTAAAATCCAAACAAACTTTCATATCTCTTAATGATGCTAGTCTATCACACGGGTCTTTTCCTGTGTATGATCAGTATTTCACAGTCCAGGAAAACTAGGTCAAGCAGCCAGCAAAAATGAAAAACAAACAAACCATTTTTAGAATATAAATATTCCCCACAATATTTAACAAAATATAATGATTTCTGAATTATTATGTATTTAGATTACTTATACTTATGAAATGTTATTTATTAGGCACTAAACTTTAGCACTTTGTAGCATTCGGTCTCCAGCTTAAGTCAGTTTTTTGTTGTTGTTGTTGTTTTTTTAAGTTGCAGATTATGTTTTCATTTTTTCCTCCCAAATTTCAAAAAAAATTCTGTCGTCAGTGTAAAAAAAGAAATCAAAGTCATAAAAATCATCATTAACAAATCACCACTAGTCACAATGTCCAGTGAGTGATGATTAGTAATTAAGGTGAATATCTGTATTTGGCCAACAGCCTGATCGGTTTCCTGAAGATGAGGAAATGTTCTAAATACTGAGCAGGGGAAAATGAACGGAAAGTAAAGAAATATCAATGGTTTGTTTCCGCTCTACGTTGCATGCAAGGGCTTGGAAGGTGCTTTTCCGGCAACCTGAAGAATGTTTCAGAGGAAAGAGCTTCCCCAAGGAGAGTGAAGGGAAGGGGAGGACTCCAGGAACAACTCAGGAGAGGAGAGAGGTGCAGGCAGAGAGCAGAGCAGGAGAGGGCTGGGCATCCCCAGGACATTCCAGTTCCTGCGCTGACCCAGAGACCACTAAAAGAACATGACCATCTCTTCCAACTGCTCATCTCGAGCTCACTCAGCAGTGCCGGGAATGGTGCCCAGAGCCTTGCACACACTGGACCAGTGCTCTTCTGCTGCCCTGCACCCCAGCCCACTCCTCCCTCCACAGGCTGAGGAGAAGGTGCCAGGAGGTCAGCAGAAGACCATGAAGCAACTGCTCTGTGCCAAGCTGGGCAGGAGAGGCAGACCTGCCCAGAGTGGAGGTGAGCCTCGCATACCTGGATACTCCCTGGGGTCCCTGGACTTTGTGTATCACATCTCTAGACTTCATAACGTGCTCACCTTCAAATGGCAAAACACCTGACCTTTCAGGGGCACTGTGGTGGCAGAGGTAGCCCCACGGCTGAGATCACCTACAACCAGGCTTCCTCAAGTCACGGCTTTCCTCAGTTATCTACAATACTCCCCTGCCCACCATCCTTCACCCCAAGTCAAATCTTAACCTACCCACCACTCGAGCCCCCTTGCATGCCACTTGATTTCTGGTTTTCGCTGACCTCTACATCTGCTGGGCCTGACCCTTAAGCCAAGCAAATAGGAGGCAGAGGACCAAGGCTGTGGCTATAAGCTTAAGCTCTGGAACTCAGAGAAAATGCACAAAACCTGGCCTTGCCCATTACTACTTCTGTCCCTGAGCAAATTAAGTCTTAGTTCTCTTACATAAATAAAATTAAGATAATAACAATGTCTGCAGTAATAAGGATGTTCTAAGGATTAAATAGGGTGTATAAATGCTCACTTTTACTATGATGATTCCCCAAGGCTAGGCCTATCCTGTCCTCTTCCTAATCGAGACCTCTTCCTTTAAGACAACTTTGGATGCCTTTCCTCCCTGCTCTCCAACAGGAGGACCCCTCCTCCCTCAAGAACCGCTCCTCAATTGTTAAGTTCAGTGATCTCCCTTCTACTGGGCCAGTGCTACATGGCCTGCTGTCATGCTTTGACGAGATTCAGTGGCCTGAGGCGGCAGCTCTTTCAAGTAAACGGAGGAGACCGTTTTCAGTGATGCAAGTGTCCTCTGCCTCCAAGGAGGTGGGAAGTTGCTGATCCTGACATCCTGTTCCAACCCAGACACATTTTCCCACAGAAAGTGATCTTGCAGATGGTGGCGAGACACAGTTGCCACTCTTCGGGACCCAGCTACTATTTATTTTTCCATTGTTTTATTTTGATCCACATCTGTTTCGTATATGTTGTAGCTGGCCCCAGGAGGGACCTTCTGGAAAGAGCACAGGCTTCTGAGGCTAAGTCTCAGCCCTTCTCTCCCTAGAAACATGCCCGAGACCGCTGTCAGCCCTTTGGAACCAACACCCCCACACCTGTAAAGTAGGCCCAACAGACCAGGGTAGGGGGTGGGAAGCTGTTGCTTCTAGGCACTGAATCTGGGGTGCAACTCTTCCAACAGTTTTTTTTTAAAGTGATACATTAAGCAGTATAAGAGGCTTTGGTGTGAAAAAAGACCTTAAGAATCCAAAGAGAGTCAAAAGCAGGGAATCTCTCTACGAACTCACTCTTACAAACAAAATTCACTAGGATTCCTCTGACTTTCCATAGGTTTGAAAGTAGTTTTGTTTTCTTTTTTGTTTTTTAAAGAAAATGGAAGGACTGAACATATATGCTAGCTAATGGGCACACATAAATATGTTCAGAAGTAACAACAGGCTATAATAAAGTATAAATAAGGAAAATAGTACATATAGACCTTAAAGTATTCATGTTCTATTTCTGCAAATTCATTGAGAATATACTAATTGTAATTATCTTAAAATGCTGATTTCAGTTTAACAAACACATGCTTATGATGGTAACAAGTGCCTAAAATTATATTTTAAATTTTAGAAAAGAATCACACATATCCACAAAACTCAACATAGTGCACAGGAAGATTTCTATAAACAACTCCATGAAAGAGGGAGACAGTCTGGGATCTTCCTTGGACAGGCCACAGTAATGACACCCAGAACACGGTTGCCCCTGCTGGAGTCCATTTCTAGAGAAAAAGGTTGCCACCACACCAAGAGTTCAGAGGTGCAATAACTGCAACCGGCAAAGCTGACGTTAATTTACAACTTCACAAAAGAAACAAAACCCCTAGAAAAGTGGGACCCACATAACTAGTAACTCACAAACAAATCAAATAACAGCTCTCAACCGGGCCTGTTCACTTGTGACTATCACCAGCCAGCCACAATGAAGGCTCAATAAATCTAATTTTTAAATCTTTAACGGTGGAAAACTGTGCAAGTTATACAAATGAAAATACATTGCTGTTACATGTCACTTTTAAAAGTAGATTTCTGTATAGACTTAAAAACTGACAGTATGTCCATTAGCAAGGACTGTGATCATCTCAAAGGCATATTATTTTAAAAAAACATTATATCAGAAAAACTAGTTTTCGATTGTGTCACTACCTATACAGGAATGAAATACTGAGTTAAAACAATGATAATAGTCAAAGAATCATTAAGAAATGCTTCATCATAACTTTCACAGTGGGTGGTCTGTAAAATGATCTAGAATAATATGCTGCATTCCACAGCCACTGAGGTCAGTTCCTGCATACAAATCTTTGCAGGAAGAAAAAGGCCTTCAGAAAGTGGGCCATTCATCTGAACCCAAGTTCAGAGAATTTCCAGCACGGTGAAAAGCTATGTTATGCAAGCACACAGACGTATTCAGTGGGGGCAGACACACCAGCTACATGGAGACTACAAAGGAGCCCTCCCATGGCTCATGAATAAGTCGAGGAAATGATCAGAAAAAAAAAAAGAGGAAAATGTTTAGACAGATGGCCCACTTAAAATGCCTGAGACAGGGCATAAGCAATTTTAATGAAACTTTAGATCTAGTATATGAATTGTTTCTTATTCCCCCAGAGTGGAGGAGGAAGAAAAAAAGAAAAAAAGCAAATCCAAAGAAGACAAAAATTCAGCAATTTGCTGAAAAATCGACTTTTAGCAAGTTTTGAGGAAAAGTCACAAATGCAAGTTTCAAGAGTGTAAGAAACTCATGCAAAACTGTTCTGGGAACCATCGGCTATCAAAATGAATATGGAAAGCATGGAATGAACAGATTAAAAGAATTTTAAACAGAAGTCTACTGCCAAACCAAACAAAAATGTACACCTTATTATGTGAGAAGTCAGAACAGTCAGTTCAGCATTAAAGTTCACCACTGCAGAAAATAGACAGATAAAAGCACTTTCAGAGAATCCCTTCAAAACCAGAAATTACCACAGAGGAGGATGACAATTTTGCCTATACACAATCTGAAATGTATGTATGTTCAAACACAGGAGACCCGTACAAGAATCCACCCCAAAGCTACGCTGAGAAACAGGGAGCACTCTTGAGTTCGGTGATGTTAGCACTACAGATGACACACATGACATCAAATCTAGATTGAACAGCCATGTGACTTACCATCTTACATGTTTTAATGTTAGGCATAC